GTGGCCGCTGCACTCCAGTCTGGGCGACAGAGGGAGACTCCCACTCAAAAAAAAAACACCAAAAAACCAAAAACAAGCTCCCTCATCGGTAAAATGTGAATAGCCACCTAGGTTTCTGGGGAGAATCAAATAAAATAATATATGTCATATCTCAGTCACCGAGTACGTGCCTGACACAGAGTAGACCTTAGTCTTCCTGACCCGCAGTCCCATTTCGTGCTACTTTTCTACATTGGAGATGGCAAGACCGGGTAGTGGAAGAAGAAGGAGAAAGAATGAGGGGGACCCCAAAAAACCCGGAATTTATATATAAAAAGTATGTACTTATGTGTTTAAACTTCAGTCACTTTCAAAGTACTCTCCATTTGCAGCCTCCCCTTCTGAGACGCTTTTTCCACTGCTCAAAACGGCTTTTGAACCCATCTATTGTAATGCTTATTAGTGCTTCTGCTGTTTTTTGTTTCACTTCATCCACACCAGCAAAACATTGCTCTTTGAGGACTTTTTCATCCAGGAAAACAAACACAAGTCGCTCAAGGTGAGATCAGATGAATAGGGAGGGTGGGACAAAAGGGTCATGCCGTGTTGTGGTAAAAAACTGCTGAACACGCAGCATGGTGAGAGCAGGTGCGTGGTCAAGGTGAAAGAACCAATCACTTATTTGCCCCAAAGCGGATGTTTCTTTCACAAATCATGATAAACCTTCCCAAAACTTCCAGATGAAACTTCCAGTCAACTTCTTGGTTGACTGTTTGTTCTGGAGGAACAAATCTGAGTGTACTGCAAGGGACCTGCCCTCCAAAATATAATTCTGTTTTTCTGGGGGGGGGTCCCCTAGGTCTATATTAACATAAACCACGCCTCCCTCTGGGTTGTGCATTAAAACATTTTTATTATTATTTTCATTGACCTACATAAAGGAATGAATTTTTTTTTAAAGAAATGCTGTAACATGTAAGAAATAAAATGGAACGAATAGACAAAACTCTAAGCTGAAAGGGACCCCAAGTCATTCACAACCAGCACCTGGGGTTTGGTGATAACAAGTCATCTGTCCTCTGTGGATGATCAGAGCAGAAAGCTTCTCGTTGGTCCAGGGACTGGGAAGGTTCTGATGGCACGCGGACGACGATTCGTTGGCTCCTGTGTAAAAGGGAGGCTTGTTCCCCGGTCACTTTCTGCATGAAGCCAGAAAGGAAGAGCTTGGCGACATCTTCCAAAAACACCCACAAGCGCATCCTGTCATTCTCACGTCACTGAGTCTTTGTCTTCAGGGTCTCCGGGTGCTGGCGCACCAGGGAACGCATCCACTGGATGGTGCTCCGCTTGGCTTCCTCCCAGCTGAAGAGCGGCTCGTACCCCAGATCTCGCTGAGCTTTCTTGTAGGAGAAGGTGAAGGTGCTATTCGCCAGCGTCACCAGGTGGCGGTTGAAGGGGGGTGCATACTTGTAAACCGGACTCAGCAGAAAGCTCACCGCCTCCAGCAGGAAGGCAATCCAGTACGTCAGCGATAAAGGCAGGTGCAGTCTGTAATCAGGGCAGAAGCCCCACTCTTGGCACAGGGTGCAGTTGAAGCTGTCGTAGCTCTGGTGAGGGGTGTCGTCGGAGATGTAGTAGAACTGTCCTCGGACGCTTGGCGCCTTCTTGGCGTCCCGCAGGGCCCTCAAGGCTAGAATGTGGGCCCAGGCCACGTTGCCCACGTAGACTGGGTTGGCTACGGAGTACCTGCCGTTGCTTGTCAGGACCCCGTTGTTGTCCAGGGCCTCCCTAATAAGGGTAGCGAGGAATGGACTTCCTTCCCCGTAGATATACATGGGCCTTAAGGCGCATGTAGACAACGTGCCGCCTTGTTTAAGAGTCTGCCCATTAGCCGCCAGCACGGCCTTCTCGGCAAGCATCTTGCTGTATGGGTACGGCGCGAACCATGTGTTTTCGAGCTGCAGGTCTTCGTGGCCGTCCTGGATGATCTCTGTGTAGGAGTTGGGCCCGGCTACCTCCAGGGTGCTGGTGTGGATGAAGACGGGCACACTCGCCTGGACACAGGCCTCCAACAGGAGCTGCGTACCTGCCCAGGGGAAGCATGCCATCCGTGTCAAAATAACACCAAGGGCCAATCACATCCAAGGTTTGTGTCTACTGCCCACGCCCCACCCCAAGTGCAGTGGTTATTACAGATCCAGACCACGTAATTCGGTGTCTCTGACTGAGATCTGACAATGCTACGGCCATAGGAAAAACACAAAAATGAAAAGAGGCTGATGTCTGGGTTCTGGAGAGCAAGAATTTATCGTCTTTTGAGTCTCATGGATGTGCGTGCGTGCGTGTGTGTGTGTGTGTGTGTGTGTGTATACTTTAATTTTGGAAAAAGATATAGGTTGATCACTTTATATGTTGCCAAGAAAGGATATTTAAACATTACCATTTTGGTAAAGAGAGGTCACTTAAAATTTAAAAAATCAGGAGGCCACACTCTCAGGATATGGGCAGTCCTGGTCCTTAGCCAAAAAAGGACAGTTGAAGAATTCACATCACACACACACATACGAAGTTGTATCTAGGCAATGTACACTCTCAAAAAGACATTACATTACCTGAATTGTTCTCATTTTGTTGAAGACCAACAAAACTTTGCTGCAAGGACCATTCTTGGAGGCACTGAGCAGTCAGTAAGGAGACGCTGGACACCCAGACCCTGTTCCTGATGGTGCATCCCCTGAGAAGGGTGCTTCTAATTTGGTCTGTAACTCCGTGTGCCCAGTTGGCAGTGGTGATAAACCTGCCTTCCACTCAGTCTCTGGCCTCTGCCCCGGCCTGTTCTGTTGGTGCCCTCTGCCGGTGGCACCTGCCACAGCCGACCTGCAGAATCCCTTCAGGTGTGGGAGTGAAACCACGGAGTTGCCCAGCGTGCCTTCCCTTGAAGAAGGAAGGAATTTCCTGGACAGAGGATAATTTCCATTTATTTATTTTTGAAAATGTTCGCCCCCTTTCAAGGCTTTGGACAACTTGATTTTCTAAAGAGACTGCCTCATTTAAGAAAATGAAACCTCGTGGCAGAGAACATTTGAGGTTAGTTTACCTGCCGAGGGGAAATGACCATCATTGTGAAGTGTTTTCTAACCCTGGGAGTGATCCTGGTTTTGGTAAAATGATGCCTCTAACACTTTCCGTTCATTTCACATTCCCTCTTGTTGGGAGCTGTGAAGAACAGGAATTATGAGAAAGGGACCAAACACTAAAAACTGGCGTACTCTTAGTCTCCTCTTTGCCGTGTGGGGATGGCTAGGAGTGTGGCTAAATAGAGACTGAGGAAGATGTTTCTTGTGAGATGGTCCTGGAGACCCAGAAGCAATCAGGTGCTTTAGAAAAGGAGTCTCTGAGTGACATAAATTTGGAGGGCCAGGCACGGGGCACAGGTGGGCCGGGGTGGAGGGGCTGTGGTGCTGGAGAGACTGGCCTCCGGGGACCAGAGGGGGGATACTGGGCGACACGTTTGCTGAAGCTAGTGTATCTGGATTTAAAGTAGACTGGAAACCCACAATTCAGAAAGCGCCACTGAGCATTTAAGGGATGAAGATCCAAGGAGGGTATACCTGGGGCACCTGGCTAGAAACTGCTTTTTAATAGTAGACCCAGTTGGGTGTGGTGGCTCAAGCCGGTAATCCCAGCACTTTGGGGGGTTGAGGCTAGAGGATTGCCTGAGCCCAGGAGTTCGAGACTAGCCTGGGCAACTTGGCGAGTTCTGGTCTCTACAATAAATGAAAAAATTAGCCGGGCATGGTAGCGCATGCCTGTAGTTCTGGCTGCTTGGAAGGCTGAGGCGGAAGGATCGCCGGAGCCTAGCAGATGGACACCGGGGTGGCCGTGAGTGTGCCACTGCACTCCAGCCTGGGCAACAGAATGAAACTCCGACTCCAAAAAAAAAAAAATAGTAGCCAGGCTCGGTGGCTCAGCCTGTAATAATCCCGCACCTTTGGGAGGCTGAGGTGAGTGAATTGCCTGAGGCCACGGGTTCGAGACCCGCCTGGGCAACTTGGCGAGACCTCATCTCTACAATAAAAATCAAAAATCAGCGGGGCGTGGTAGCACGTGCCTGGAGTTCCCGCTACTTGGAAGGCTGAGGCGGAAGGATCGCCGGAGCCCAGCAGGTCGAGGCTGCGGTGGCCGGGAGCGGCCATTGCACTCCAGTCTGGGTGATGGAGTGAGACTCCAACTCAAAAAAAAAAAAAAAGTAGACCCAGTGGTGAGCTGAAGAGCTGGCATTATGGACAGTCGGAAACCATTGTTGTTAGGAAAATATTGTGGGAAGGCATGTGCTGGTTAATTCTGTCCTTGCAGATTTCTGTGAGGCAGTTTTGCCAGTTATCTCGAGAGGATTCCTTCTCTGAGATGGCCAGAAGGGCTCTGGGCCTTCTTATCAACCAGCACACAAGGTTTCACATGATAACTCAGGATGCACCTGTGAGGCCCGGTTCTGGCCTAGGGGAGGCGAGGGTAGCTGGACAGCAAGAGCGTGATGTCAGAGCTCAGTTGACCCTTGATGAGGGCAGCAGTGGAGAGAGCTTCCGTGGCTTTTGGAGTCACACACGTGTGAACTTAAATTCTAGTTCTCCTTTTTAATAGCTGCGGGGCCTTGGGAAAGTTACGGCTCTTTCTCAGACCTAGTTTCCTGATCGAAAAAAGGAGGATTCCTGTGGCGTCTCGGACTCCCTCAGTGGGTGACAAGCACTGACCGGGCACAGAGCACAGCAGGGTCCAGCGGTGGGGCTTCTCCCCCCTTCCTGATTCTATTTTCTGATCCCCACTCCTCCCCGGGCTGCTATACCTTTCAGATTGACGTCCATTATGGTCTCTCTGCGAGTGGTATTCATGATGTCAATGATGCTGGCGGTATGGATGACGGCCGAGACGTCCTGGCAGGCTCTTTTCAGGCACAGCTCATCCAGGATGTCCCCTTCCAGCAGCACCACCTTGATCTTGCTTGGGAGCTCTGTGCAAACACAAGTCAGGGTGCGTGGGAAGTCTTTCTGGATCTGGCTAGGAGGTTTCCTGATAAAGGTACCCTTTGCCCAGGACTTCAAGGCCAGTGGGGGGGGTAGGGTGGGGAGGGACAGGTCAGCAAGGCACCGAGTTCAGCAGGCGCAGTGTTTGTTGGGAAGGCACAAACATCTGTTTGCTCTTGTTTCATTCCAGAAAAAGCGACCAAACAGTGAGGGTAGCAGGTGTGCCTGGAACATGAAAATGGTTAACGAGCGTCAAGGGAAGTTCACAGAGTAGGAGGATTATGGAGAGCTGGATGTAAGAGGAAAGAATTTGAATTTAATTCCGTTGGGCATGAGGAATCACACATGGATTCGGAGTAAGAAGAGAAGTAGAAGGAGAGTGCTGTTGGAGGCTTTTCTTGGCTTCGGGATATGAAATGGACCAGTCCGTGGGGACATAAGGGAAGGTACGGTGATCAAGATGTTGACTGGGATTTCTGTGCCAAAGTTCAGAGGGCAGGACAGGGTCACCTGTAGTCAGAGCAGAGGAGGAGAGAGACGCGCAAGACGTGGCAGGTTTGACAGGTTTGACAGGTCCTGGTGCTTGTTGGATCTGGGCTTAGAGGAAGAGGAGAGGACAGAGCAGCCAGGAGGAGAGAGGAGCTATTAACAGGGAATTTGGGATGGACCCAGTGATGAACATAATTGAAGACACTCTTATCAAATGTCATCAGAAGCAGATGCCATGCTGAGCACGAGTCAGCCACCGACAGACTAACATCCTGGCCACCTGCCAAGGGTGGTGGGTGCGGCATCCACATCCTCAGGCCGCTCTGAAATCCACAGAAAGTGACCCTGTCAGTCCAGTTGCCGCTTCAAATGAACCCCCAAGATGAACGCCGTGCTGCGCAGAGTTTGGCTCCATACACCGCACTCGTCTGTGCTCTCCACGTTGCACACAGCGCTCACGGCTTGCTCATTTCCTTTCCTAGCTCCCTCACGACAGGCATTCCGACTCCCCCCGGACAGAGAACACGGAGGCTCCGAGAGGTAGAGGGGCACACCCAAGGTCACACCCCTAGGGAAGGGTCACACCCGCCCTGCTGCCTCCAAGCCTTGTTTTTCCCCCTTTCCCCAGGTGAAGGTCTGGCTGTTTGGAATCCACTCTTCTGAGACAGAGGAAGGATATGCAGTTGCTTTTCTGGTGTGAGCTGGGTGGAGGGAAGACAGAAGCTCTGAGATAAACTCCCAGTTAGGCGAACAGACACTGAGGTAGACCGCCTGGATTCCCATCCTGCTCGCCATATGGGACCTGGAACAAGTTAATTAACCTCTCTGGGCCTATCTGGTCATCTGTCAAGAAGAAGGCTAGCAATACTCCCTGGCTCACAGCGTTGCCACTTTGAATCAATGCATGGAAAGGATTTAGTGGCGCGTCTGGCCAGAAAGCGTTCTCTCTTATTGCCTTTGTACGGGCCCCTGCCCACCCCTTCTGTCTCCTGAATTTTCACCAGAGGAGAACCGTTCCTGTAGGTCGAACCCTGCTCTTTCCTGGTTTCAGATGTTGGATTGTGAATACCATTGAGATGTAAGGGTTGCAAACATTGAAGATTGTGTTAGTATTTGTTTACCAAGGACACCATCTGTGTGGGCAGGGCGGGGCCCTCTGGACAGCTCGGGCCTGCGTGTCAACACCCGTTCCCGTACCCTGGGTCGGAGGTGGGTGGAGGACGGGGAATTGGTTTGGGGCACGCAGGGAGGCAATGACAGACACTGACAACTCACTTTGCCAAGCCTCAGCCCTTGCGCCCAGCGACGGGGCCCCGGGACAGGCTCGAGTCTGAGCTCTGCCGCGCAGGAGACAGACGACCCGGCCCTTTAGGCTTCTGGACCTGGATGGGCTCACTGTCCGGGTGGGTGTGACGCCTTTCCTACCTTCCTCACAGGGTTATTTTGAGGATCTGAGGAGGAAACAGGTCGGAAAATACACTCTAAGTTCAACTTTTGCCCTTGCGCAGGGGCTGCAACAGCAAATTCTGCACCCATTTTCTTTGTAGTCATGAACAGAAGAGACAAGTAGTAAACGCCACGCATGAGGAATCCGTATTCTGCTCCGTGCTGTGCCCTTGGGTGCGTGTGCGCTCTCGCATCCTCTCCTTCTCATTCTCTCTCTCTCTCTTTCATTCTCCCTCTCACCCTTTCTTTCTCATCCTCTCATTGTCTCTCTCTCTCATCCTCTCGCTAATTTTTCTCTCATTCTGTCTCTCATTCTCTCTTTTTTCTGTCTCATCCTTTCATTCTTTCATTCTCATTCTCATTCTCACTCATTCTCTGTCTCGTTGTTTATCTCTCATCTTCTCTCTCTCTCTCTCTCGCTCTCTCTCACGCACCACACATTCATCTTTACCTCAACTTCCTTTCATTTCACCTTCAGTAACGATGCTAAGTGGGCCATAACACAAAAGGAACAAAACCAAACCCAGGGCAACCAAGAGGGGTGGGGACTCACTGGGGTGGCCTCCAGGTTAATGGCGCTTGGCAGGTACTGCCCAGCGGTGGCCGAGACAGAGCCTTCAGAACCTCAGAGAGCGGTCGACGTGGAGGAGAACTGGCGAAAGGGGCCTGGAGGCTGAGGTGGCTGCCTTTCTGTTCCTGGGTCAGGGACGGAATCCGGTCTCCCCACACTCGGTCTAGTCTCTTTTATGCCACGCCATTTTACATTATTTCCTTTCTGGTGATTTTAGAGGCGGGATTGCCCTTGACTTGGCTACAGCCTTTCGTAGCTTGCCCGCGTTCTCCTCCGCGCACCCACGCAGGCTTTAAGAAGGAGCCACACACGCACAACTCCGGTTTACTTACTAGAGAATTCCTCCTTCAATTCCGGCCTGAAGAACTTGTCCAAGGCCCTGATCTCCTCCAGCTCCCTCTCCTTCATCAGCAGGCGAACGATCCTCTGACCCAGAAACCCTCCTGCTCCCGTCACAAGGCAGCTCCACCCCATCACGGCCGGTCACAGGCAGCAGAAAACACTCGCCAGGAGCCAGAAGGTGCTGGGAAGCAGATCTGGCTGTGGGGTGACTCTGGAGAGGACCAAAAAGAGGGGCCAACCGGTTATGGGTGCACAAAATACCTTTTGTTCCCTCCACCCCCTTTTGTGGGCAAAAATTCCACACCCCCCCCACGGCCAGGAGTCACTGAAAGACAATGAAAAAGCTCTCACCTCTTAGATCGTGAGACGCCGGATGGAAGCGCCAGAGTGCTGGTCACCTTGGCTTCCAAGGCGGGACTGGAGTTTTATATGCTGTGGCCTCTGGCTCAGCCTCCTTATCTTGAGCTCTTGCTACATCCTTGTTGCTCACTCCTTTTTCCAAGATCCCTTCTCTCAAAATAGTGGTGACCTTTTAAATGATATCTTGCATTCCTCCCAGGCACAGGAAGAGACAGCGTACTTCAAGCCACAGCGAGATAAAGACTCTTGGTTTTAGCCTCGAAGACACTGGGCTGCTGTCTAGGAGTCACCATTTGGGACCTTAAACGAGACTGGGAGAAATCTCAAAGTGCAGTATGAACTTTGGCCTCGTGCAACAAATAACATCTGGAGGGAGAATTCACTTTCACCTGTGAGCTCCTCTCTCAGAGCATCATTTGAAATGTTGCCAAGTTTAGAAATGGGTGACCAGGCACCGTGGCTCATGCCTGTAATTCCAGCACTCTGGGAGGCTGAGGTAGGAGGAGCCTTTGAGACCAGTAGTTGGAGACCACACTGGACATCATAGTGAGACCCTGTCTGAAAAAAAAAAAGAAAGAATGAAAGAAAGAAAGAAAAAGAAAGAAAAAAGGAAAGAAAGAAAGGGGAAAAATACATTTACAATGGTGGCTGCTTCAATCACTTAAGTTTTGTGGGAGGTTGACTTTCCCGCTCTGTATATCCCAAACCCCCATTGTGATTTTCCACTGGAGAACACTGGGCTTCTGGAGGAAGAGCATCATTGAAGGGAAGCTACCTAGTGATAGCCACTTAGCTACGTGGCCTGTACCACAAGAGTAAGGATTTGTAGTTGTATGCCAGGGTGGCTTTTATTGTGGCTGTTTGCAATCAGCCTACATTTGGGTTGTACAACTCTTGAAAAGTCCCAAACTGGAGATGCTGTAAATACTTCTGAAGCCCATGTCCCTATGTCATGTCATAAGCTCCCCAAAACAATGTCTTTCCTCCACTTTTAAAAACAGGTGTAATTTACACGCCCCAGATTTGACGGGGCATGGTAGCTCATGCCTGTAATCCCAGCATTTTGGGAGCTTGAAGAGGGAGGATCCCATGAGGGCAGAAGTTGGAGACCAGCCTGTACATCATAGGGATACCATGTCTCTGTGTCCCTAAAAAAAAAAAAAAATTAACGAGGTGTGATGGCATGCACCCGTAGTTCCAACTACTCAGGAGGTTGAGGTGGAAGGATCTCCTGAGCTCAGGAGGTTGAGCCTGCAGTGGGCTGTGATCGTGCCTCTGCACTCCAACCTGGGTGACAGAGTGAGACCTCGACTCAAAAATAAATAAATAAGTAGCCCAGATTTTAAGTGTTTAGATCCAAAACCTTCCCTGTAATATACCCCTATGTAAACACTACCCCAAAGAAGACCATTTCCTTCACCCCAGAAAGTTCTTTCCTGCCTATTTCCAGTCAATTTTCTGTCCCCTTCTCCATCTACCCACAGGCACTGCTTTCTGATTTTTATTCCCATTTTATTCCTATATATTTCCACTTTTTTCTTCTAAGATCTCTATGGTTCTGGATATATACTTAAATATACAATTGGTCTGAAATTAAGTTTTGTGGGTAGAGTACAAACAAATTGTGAATTGTATCTGTTGTTTGTCCATTTTTCCATTTCATTAGTTTCTTTTATTTTTATTATTGACTTCTGTTTATTTACTTTGGGTTTAATTTACTCTTCCTTTTCAAGGTTCTTATGGTAAAAGCCTAGGTAATTGTTTTTACCCTTTTTCTCATTGACTATAAGCATTTTAAGCTATAAGTCTCTTTATAAGCACTATTAGCTGCACCCAAAATTTTGATGTATTGAGTTATCATAATTCAAGTAATGATATTTAACACTTTTCCTTGCCATTTCCCAGTGTTATTCAGAAATATATTGCTTGTTTTCTAAAATTGGGGATTTTCTAGATATCTTATTGCTATTGATTACTAATTTGATACTATGGTGGCCAGAGTATATATTCTGCATGATTTTGGTTTCTGGTCCAGTACGTGGTCTGTGTTGGTGAACTTGCCATATGTACTTGAAAAGAACGCTTCCTGCACTTGTTGGGAGTGATGCTCTACAGATGAAGGGGTTTGACACCCCACGCTGGGTCTCTTCCTCACCCTGCATTGTCGGCATTCTCTTTTCACTGGGCACCGGACTACTAGTGATTCAAACATACTACACATTTACTTAGGGAAGGTGGACCCTGTGTACTGAGTTGTAGCAGCTCGTTCTCTGAAGCTATCAGTGCTAGCTACGGGCCTCTGGTCTTGCTGACACCTGCGGAGTCCTGAAGCGATCCAGGTGCATCTTACACCTTTGCCTGCTGTAGTGAATGCTGGAGGGCACCCAGATCCTTCCAGGACTGGGGTGTTCATTCCTTCAGTGGTTGCCAGTGCCAGAGGCTCATAGATGTCACTTAGCATCTCTCTAAGTATTGCCTACAGCCAGAAAGTCAATGAAATAGGAGTTTGGAGTCTCTGAGTAGAGCCAAGAAATATGAACCCTAAATAAAGTGAGAGACAAAACAAAGAGCAAGGCAAACGGGTGCCATGGTATCTTTCTTTCTTTTTTCAACAGCTTTACTTAGGTATGATTTATATGTCATAACATTCACCTGTCTTAAGTATCCAGTTATTTTTAGTAAAATTTTGGCCCTGTGGGGTCATCATCACAACTCTGTTTCGGAACGTTTCTACCCCTCCCCAAGGATCCCTTGTGCCATTAGCCACCCCTCCTTATTCCCAGTCCCCAGTTCTAGGCAGCCCATAATTGACTTTCTGACTCTCCGGGCTGGCCTTTTCTGGACATCATCTAAATGGAATCATACAATATGTGGCCTTTTGTATCTGGCTACTTTCACTTTGCATAATATACTTTTGAGTTTCATCCATATTGTGGCACAGAAGAGTGTCTCATTCCTTTCAAGTTAAGAACACTATTGCTTTGTATGGACGTGCCACATCTGTTTATCCGTTCACCAGTTGATAGATATTTGGAGTGCCTCCGCTGTTTGGACAGAATAGTGGTTTGGACAGAATAGTAGACAAAGCTGCTTTGAATATTTACATGCAAGTGTTTGTGTGGACATATGTTTTCATTTCTCTTAGGTAGATAGCTAGGAGTGAAATCGCTGGGTTATATGGTAAAATTGATCTTTAACTTTTAAGAAACCACCAAACAGTTTTCCAAAGTGGCTGCATGCTCCCTCAGCAGTCTTTGAGAATTTCAGCTTTTCCACATACTAGTGGGTAAGAATTGGTGGTCTCATTGTGGTTTTGATTTGGATTTCCCTGCTGACTAATGAGGTTGAACATCTTTTCATGTGCTTACTGGCCATTCCTATGTCTTTTTGGTAAAATGTCTATTCAAATATTTTTTTTTCATTTTTAAATTGAGTTACTCATCTTCTTCTTGTTGAGTTGTAAGAGTGTTTTATATTCTTCATACCAGCCCTTTGTCAGATATGTGATCTAAAAATATTTTTCTCAGACTATGGCTTATCTTTTCATTTTCTTAATGACATCTTTTGAATTGTAAACATATTTAATTGTGGTGAAATCCTACTTTTAATTTTTTCCCTTTCACCAGGAAAACGAGGGTTTTGGCCCAACCCAAAGTCATAAAGATTTTTATTTATGCTTTCTTCTAAGAAGTGTACAGTTTAACCTTTACATTTAGGCCTGTGATCCATTTTGAGATAATTTCTGCCTATGAGTGAGTTAATAATCTAAATTCATATGGTCAATTGATTTTGGCAAAAGGAAGTTCAATGGAAATAAAGGCTAGCCCTTTAAACAAATGATATTGGAACATGGATTTTTCACATTCAGGGAAGATCAGGACATGCTGTATAAAGCAATGCCCCTCTGGGTTACCACTAATTGACATCAGAGTTTGGGAGGAATTCCTCAATATGACATAACATGTGTTAAATAGTATGCTGTATTGGGAAAATCCACAAAGGGCACCGATCAGCAAAAGAATAGACGGCTTGATTTTTTTCATACTTCTATCCTACTCATGCATAAATGGTCAGGAAAGTGCTGGGCTGACAGTGTGGGTGTGCAAGGAAATGGCTTTATCAGTGAAAGAACACACAGGCTGCTGGTGTGAGACAGCCTGGATTTGGCATGCTAGCTGCTCACAGGAAAGCCAACTGCCCAGCACCTGGAGTTCTTGGCACTTATGGAAAGTGTTTCCCTCTCCTTAGGCCAGAAAGCCACCCATTCCACAGGGAGCTATACCAGGCACAGTCTCCCTTGCCAAGGAAAGGAAAATCCTACTTCTTGGCTAGCTTATTAAACTTCTGGGTCACTTTAGGATAATTATACTCCTGGTGCTACAGTCCTAGGAAGATCAATTTGGAAATGAGAAGCATATGATCATTTTTAAAGCCATAGAACTAGATGAAATAAGGCAGGGTGAAAGTATTCGTAGATAAAAGGAAAAACCTCTAGACTGAAAGGTGGAACAGACATATTTAGAGGTTGGACAGATGAGGAGGACCCGGTTAGAGGGACTGAGCGGAAGTGGTGGCACGCAGGGGGAAAATTAGGAGGGAATGGCGTCGTGAAATTCAACTGAAAAAGTGTTTCAAGAAGGAGAATGTGGTCAATTATGCTGGATGCTGCTAAGGCATCAGATGCGGTGAGGAAGAGAACTCACCATTGGTTTTGGTAACATCATAAGTAGCTGGGTAAGAGGGATTTCCATGAACAGTCGGGTTGAAAGTTT